GAACCCATCAGTCAGATACGATGTCGAAGCAAACGTGCACGCTGTAAGGGGGTCTGAGGGAAATGGTGAAACGGAGGCGGGAGGCTTATAGTCTGTTAACAGTTGGGAAGATCAAACCCAGAGTCAACGCCACATAAAACACGGTGAAGTTTGAAGTGAAATGGCAGCTGTGGGTACAGAAGAGCATGCCAAGGAGAGGGGAACCGGGGGACTAACCATTGATGCCAGAGACCCCAGAGAGGGCAGGATTTGTGCTGGGCCGGGAGGTCTCCCTGGATGGCACAGGTCCTGCGGAGGCGTGTGTCCTCTGCTGTGGCCGGTGTGGCTGGCTGCGGTGTGATGGGTTGATGGGGTGGTGTGAAGGTTTAGTTTGAGTCCACGTTCTTTCCGTTCACTGTGGTTTGTGTAGCACATGACCCGTCCCCACAGCCTGTACTGTGGGCACCATTCCGCAGGTCTCCCTCTTCCCTGTGCGTCGCTGCCAGGGGCCGTATCCTGAGTGTGTGTTGCAGGGAAGGATGGTGTTACTGTAGGAGTCTGGATGAGGCTGTCAGCGATCAGCGTGCCCTGGCCTCTGAGTCCCCGCCCACCGAGGAGAAAAGCCTGTCTCATCCAGGCAGACAGGCCAAATCTCACAGGCCAGGGGGACTTTTATACAGGGACTGCCTCTTAGGATAGCAGGTTTCTAACCTATTGCGTGAATCCAAAATGCAAAGGACACAGAAACACTCGAGCCATCAAGTTCATTGTCCAAAATAATTTCTCAGGGCACCTGGGGGGGCTCAGTTGAGCATCTGACTTCAGCTCAGGTCATGATCTCACGGCTTGGGGGCTTTCTGCCGTCAGCCTGTGTCATAGAGCCCACTTCAGATCCTCTGTCCCCCTCTTCTGGCCCTCCCCAGCGTGCGCTCCCCGAAAACAAATATTTTTTTAAAAATACTTCTCAATATCCCATCCAATTTTTCAACGAATGGACTCACAATTTTCCTCTACCATCTGCAACTTCCATACCCTGCCTGGCATTCGGAATGCCCTTCTTGGGCATTCAGAATGTCCTGCTCTCTTCAAAGAATTAAGACTTAGATGTCATTCTGATTGGAGTGTCCCTTGGGGAAGCAGGCCACAGAAGCCTACCAGAATTTGACATGAAGTCTTATTCTGTTTTAAAATCTACACAAATCATGTATGTATGCTATGTTGCCCTTGTTTCACATCATTCTTTTACCTTACACATCAGCACTTGCAGCTTGGAGTGATTCTTTTCAAAGTCCACAAGGCATCCCATTGCATGGATGTTTCATTATTTAGATGAATGCTTCCCTGTTGATGGTCATTTAGTTTTCTTTTTCTATTACAAACAACTCCGCAGTGTTTTTGTGCACAATTTTTTTTTAAGTAGGCTCCACACCCAATGTGGGGCTTGAACTCAGAGTTGCATACTCTACCGACTAAACCCACAGGTGCCCCATTTTGTGCACAAGTCTTCCTAAGTATAGACATAGGGTGTATTTTTAGCAGTAGAACTGCTGGACAGAGGATATGTATGTATGGTTTTAATTGGTTAATACTGCTAAATTTCACCCCCCCCAAGTTTGCTCCAATTTATAATCCTACCATTGTAGTATGAGAATGTCTATTTCTTCATACTTCATAAAGTGCTACATATTTTTAATTTTTAAACATAAAAAGGTTATTTCAGTATGATATTGGTGCAGGGATCATTAAATAGCCCAGACACATACCCACACATTCATGAGATAGTTGGTTCATGACTGTGGTAAAATTGTAGCTCTAATGGCAGAAGGAATTGATTTAATTATATATAAATGGGGCTAGGACAGCAGATTATCTTAGTGGGGAAGAAAAATTGGACTCAACTCACACACCATACACAAAAATGAATTCTAGGTGGATTAAGGACCTAAAAACAAAAGACAGAACTATAAAACTCAGTAAGGCATTATAGTTTTTTTTTTTTTTTTTTAACTTGGGAGGAACGGAGGATTTATTTCGATACAAAAAGCACAAATCATAAAAGATTTATAACTTTGGCTCTATTAGGACTTACATCCATCAAAAGACATCATGAAGAAGATGAAAAGGCAAACCACCAACTAACTGAAGGTATTTGACGTCTATAACTGACAAAGGATTAGTATCCAGAATACATTAAAAAATGCCTTCAGTTCAATTTTCTGAAAGACATAAACATACATATTTTGCATATAGAAAAGTGGGCAAGAGAAAAGCACCCAACATTTTCAGAAGATGAAGCACAAGTGAGCATTAAAAATATGAAAAGATGGGGTGCCTGGGTGGCTCAGTCAGTTACATGCTCAACTGTTAATCTCCACTCAGGTCATGGTTCCATGGTTTAGGGATCGAGCCCAGCATCAGGCTCTGCACTGACAGTGGGGAGCCTGCTTGGGATTCTTTCTCTTTTCCTCTTCGTCTCTCAAAAGTAAATAAACTTCAAAAAAAAATATGAAAAGATGGGGAGCAGTAGAGACAGTGGGGAGCCTGCTTGGGATTCTTTCTTCCTCTCTGTCTCTCTCTCTCAAAAGTAAATAAACCTCAAAAAAATATGAAAAGATGCTCAAGTTCATCATTAGATGGGAGAAATGAAAAATTAAAACCACACTAAGACAATTACTTCATAATGAATGGTAAAAATTAAATTTAAAAAATCAAGTATGGGCAGAGGTATGAAGCACAGGAACTGCCTTACACTGTAGATGGCATCCTATATTGGCACAACTACTCTGGAAAGCAGTTGGACATTCCTAAGTTATATTGAACATGTGAACACCCTTCAACTCAGTAATGCCACTTTTTTTTTTAATGTTTTATTTATTTCTAGGAGAGAGAGAGAGAGAGAGAGAGAGACAGCATGAGCAGGGGAGGGTCAGAGAGAGAGGGAGTGACAGACTCTGAAATTGGCTCCAGGCTCTGAGCTGGCAGTCAGCACAGAGCCCGACGCAGGACTAGAACCCACGAACTGCGAGATCATGACCTAAGCGAAAGTCAGACGCTTAACCGACTAAGCCACCCAGGCGCCCCAGTAATGCCACTTTTAACATATTCAAGAATGTTTTTAGCCTTATTATTCCTAAGAAGAAGAAAAATGAGTGGAACATTGGGGAATGTTCTTAACCTTATTATTCCTAAATGGGGCCGAGGAGAACTGGAGTAAAGAATTGGGGGAGGGGGGAGGGCACCTGGGTGGCTCACTCAGTTAAATGTCTGACTTCAGCGCAGGTCATGATCTCACGGCTTGTGGGTTCGAGCCCCATGTCAGGCTCTGTGCTGACAGCTCAGAGCCTGGAGCCTGCTTTGGATTCTCTGTCTCCCTCTCTCTCTCTGCCCCTCCCCTACTTTCTCTCTCTCTCTCTCTCTCTCTCCCTCTAAACACACACACACACACACACACACACACATTTAAAAATAATTAAAAAAAAAAAAAGAATTGGGGCAATGTGGCATGAAAAGGAAGACTCAAAGGAAGTGTAGTCCACCCAGAGGTATGGACACCACAATGATCCCACCGTGTCCCTAAACTTTCCTAGCATCACAGAGTCATAATGTGCTATTTTATGGAGAAACTTCTCCTCCTTCTGCTCTTCTCATTCAGCTTTGACAGCAGGACTTAGGTTACAAATAGTCTCTTCCATTTGTAGATATCTGCCGTTAAAAACCAGAATAGGCCCTCTGAGATAAGGTCCTTTCCGTGACTTTTATTCTGGTAAAGGCTTTATCCTCAGGATGCAGGGATGCTTCCCTCTTCCTTTGGAAAGCGCTGAATCACAGGCAAAGCCCTAAGCCTTTCAGTTGCTTTGGGGTGCAGCACCATTTCAGGTAAGGCCAAATACTTTAAAAATTAGGGATGGGCAACTGGAGGGCTTGCTTAGTCTGTATGTGCATAAGATAGATAAAATTTAGCACAAGAAGTGATTTGTGTAAAATTCCACTTGGGAATATTTTGGCAGGCTGGTACGACTGCTCATATTTCATACGTACTTCACTGCCACGGGTTCGTATTAATTTTTTGTTAAGCATCTTAGGAATGATAGCTCCTTATTTACGGACACAATCAGAAATACTGTTGTCAACAAGTCTAGCTCTGTGGCCCCGGGTAAGTTACTTACCTTTCTGTGTCTTAGTCTCATCATCCTTTACCTGGGGATAAACATAATATCTACCACCTAGAGCTCCTGGAAGGAGTGAGTGAATGAATGAATGAATGAATGAATGAATGTGAAGCAATGCTGAGAACAATGCATGGCATAAAGTGATGGTATTACCTGCTTTTCTCATCGTGGCTAATTGGAGGTGTTCGCTACTTGAGGGTGTTACTGTTTTAGTAGAGTAAGTACTGTCCGTACAGCAGGAGTGTGGTAAAAGGAATCAGAGGGTGGTTGCTGCTGTTTTCTAGACTTTGCTGTTCCCTTCATGACTGTTGTTAACAGCCACCTCTGGGTAAAGGCGAGAAGATCAGGGCCCCCTTCACCCCGCGCACCGCTCAGTGAGGTCTGTGAGGCATTCCTGAATGTGAGAACAGTTATTTTCATCAGTTTTATGGAAAGATGTTAAAGGATGGGCTTTGAAAACGCTTTCGCGCTTTCAACTGAGAGTAGAAACTCGGTAGAACCAAAGAATGAGACCCCGCAGTGTAGAACGAAAGCCTTTTCACCACCCAGGAAATCTGCGTTCCTCAGAGGGACCCTTGGTTGTATCTGGGGAACATTCAAAGTCGCTGATGATCGGGGCGCCTGGGTGGCTTAGTCGGTTGAGCGTCCGACTTTCGCTTAGGTCATGATCTCGCGGTTCGTGGGTTCGAGCCCCGCGTCGGGCTCTGTGCTGACTGCCAGCTCGGAGCCTGGAGCCTGTTTCAGTCTGTGACTCCCTCTCTCTCTGACCCTCCCCTGCTCACGCTGTCTCTCTCTCTCTCCTAGAAATTAAAAAAACCCAAAAAACAAAAAAAACCCAAAGTCGCTGATGATCTTGGTGAAAGGTCTCCTGCCTCCCGCAGGGTTACAGGATCCAGTATGAGCGTGTCGTGCGTCGCCTGCAGACCCCGCGCCGTCGCCCTAGCGGACGTGCTGAGGAGCGCGCTGCTGTGCGCCGCGCTGGGGGCCCTGCGCGCCCAGCCTTTCCCCTGTCCCCCCGCCTGCACGTGCGTGTCCCGGGACGCCGCGCGGTGCTCCGGGATCAACGTGGCGCGCGTCGCCGAGCTCGGCCTGCCCGTCAACCTCACGCACATCCTGCTCTTCGGAATGGGCCGCGGCCCCTTACAGAAGCACAGCTTCCGGGGCATGACCGTCCTGCGGCGCCTGATGCTGACGGACAGCCGCATCTCCGCCGTGGCGCCCGGCACCTTCGACGACCTGATCAAACTGAAAACCCTGCGGCTGTCTCGCAACGGGATCACTCACCTTCCGGGCGCGCTCTTGGATACGGTGGTGCTCCTGGAGCAGCTGTTTCTGGACGGCAACGAACTGACCGACATTGACCCGAACCTGTTTCGGAAGCTGGTCAACCTGCGGGAGCTCTTTCTGAACCAAAATCAACTCGCCTTCCTTCCTGCTCGCCTCTTCGCAAATCTGGGGAGCCTGAAAGTGCTGGATCTATCGGGAAATAATTTGACCCACCTGCCCCAGGGGTTGCTCGGGACACAGGCCAAGCTGGAGAAGCTCGTGCTGCACTCGAACCGGCTCGTCTCTCTGGATTCGGGGCTGCTGAGCAGCCTGCGTGCCCTGAAGGAGCTGCAGCTGGACAGAAACCACATCCGCTCCATCGCACCGGGCGCCTTCGACCGGCTCGGGAGCCTGAGCTCCTTGACTCTTTCCAGAAACCACCTGGCGTCGCTGCCCCCCGCACTCTTTCTGTATACGCACAACGTGACGCTCCTGACCCTGTTCGAGAACCCGCTGGAGGAGCTCCCGGAGGTGCTCTTCGGGGAGCTGGCCGGCCTGCGCGAGCTGTGGCTGAACCGCACCCGCCTGCGCACCCTGCCCGCCGCCGCCTTCCGCACCCTGAGCGGCCTGCGGGCGTTCGGGGTGACCCTGAGCCCGCGCCTGAGCGCGCTGCCCGAGGACGCCTTCCGGGGCCTGCGCCAGCTGCAGCTGCTCGCCCTGCACGCCAACGGGCTGGCCGCGCTCCCCGGCGGCCTGCTGCGCGGCCTCGGCCGCCTGCGCCGCGTGTCGCTGCGCCACAACCGGCTGCGCGCCCTGCCCCGCGCGCTCTTCCGCCACCTCGGCAGCCTGGAGGCCGTGCAGCTCGAGCACAACCAGCTGGAGACCCTGCCCGGAGACGTGTTCGCGGATCTGCCCCGGCTGGAGGAGGTCCAGCTGGCGCACAATCCCTGGCGCTGCGACTGCGATCTGGGGCCGTTCCGGGCGTGGCTGCGGCGGCACCCGGGCCTCGTGCGCGGAGCCGAGCCCCCGCGCTGCGGCGGCCCCGGGCCCCGCGCCGGCCTGCCGCTCTGGGCCCTGCCCGCCCCCGACCCGGAGTGCGCGGGCCCCCGCGGGCCCCCTCCCGGCCCCGCCCCCGGCCGCTCGGACCCCCGCGCCCGGGCGCGGTTCGCGATCGACGGCGGGCGCCACGACCACGGCCTCTTCCGGGCTCTCTATTTCCTGCTTTTGGCTGCTCAGGCCGTAATAACGGGGGTCATTGTGTTTGCTATGATTAAACTCGGGGCGCTCTTTCGAAAATTCATCAGAGAGCGCGAGCGAGCGAGAGCTTTTGCTTGAGTCCGCGGGACCACCGCGCCACGCATGAAACGTGGCCGGGGTGCCGTCGGAGGTGGCTCCGGGGAGCGTCTCGACGGGCTGCTGCCGCTTCCTCTGCCCTCCCGTCCCCTCCCCTCCTCGCCGCCCCCGCCAGGCATCCTTACGTTTCTAATGTGTTGTGTGGCTGCCCTGCCCCGTCTGCCCTTACCGGATGGATTGTTCTCTTTATCTGCTTTGGAAAAGCGGAACTCTTCAGTTCTTTCCCTCGACCTCTCGTTTTCTCACTGTGTCAACCGTGAGCTGTCTGGTAGCCTTGTTTTCAGAGGCGGCCTCCCTGCGATAGGCGGAGAGATAAAGAGCACAACGCCTTTCCAGCAGGAGCTCGGCCATCGGGACTGAGGCCACTGGAGTCCCGTCGTCGGGGCCGGAGGGGCCGCAGGAGGAGGGGGCTGCAGCGGGGGTTTGCGGGAGGAGGGGGAGCCCGCCGGGAGGTCCGAGTGCCTGGGAGGAGGGGCCCTGGATCCCCTCCCTCCAGCCCCTGTCCGGCCCCCCTGCTTGGTTCTGTGTTTCTTCTTGCTTCGCACGGGGGTGAAGTGTGTCATTGTGACACTGGGTTGGTTTCCATTTCCTGGCACTGGATGCTGCCTCATTGCACAAGCATTTATGGAACACCTAACATGTGACGGGTGCTCATGAATGTAAATGATAAGCTTGGTTTCTCGTTTATTATGGTGGCATCACGTTCGCAATTAGTCTTCCAGCTGAGGGCCATAAAGCTCTTGTTGCTTTAATTGGATGTCTGTGCTGGTGAGAAGCGGTGGTTTAAACCTGGGCCGGGAGAGTGGCCGGTCGCGGTGTCCAATCCCAGCTCGGCCACCTGCATAGGGCTTTGGGCAAGACACCTACACTCCCTCAGCCTCGGATAAATAGCGCCTGCCTCACGGAGTTTTTGTGAGAATTAAGGGCCATAAAGCCTGGGCAGACTTCGCCCGGTGCCCCGCATACAGTCAGTGCTCAGTAAATGTTAGCTCTTATTAAAGAGCAGGCAATTACTAGCGCTGTCATGATTGCTAAAGAAGAACTTTGAGTTTCTTCTCTGCCTTTAAAGGTGAGAGCAAACTTTCTCAGATGGGAGATTACATTAAATCACTTTATCTTCACCGTGGTCCGTCCTGGCCCTGAGCAGGCTCCGTGCCCACAGCCCCGAGCAGTGGGTTCTCTGAACACCACCAACCCGTGTGGAGCAGGAGGGGTGGGTTCCTGGCATCTGAAGGTGTACTTCTCTTTCAAGGCCAAGTTCAGCTAGTGAAGCCTTCCCAGACTGCCCAGGCAGACTCCAGCGTTCCCTGTTGTGTCGTGTCCGCCTCCCGGGCTACCATGCACTAAGCACCCTCCCCACCCCTGTAGGGTCCTGCTCACCCTTCACTCTGGGGGGTGGGGGGTGTTTATGTGATCCCTGCACTGTAGGCTCCTTGGCCCTACGTCGTCGGGTTTATTTCCACTGCTCTAAACTTTGAAACTTACCTAAAGCATGAAACCCAGACTTTCTGGTGGAATGTGAACTCTAGTCCTGACCACTGTGTTTCTGGGCAAGCTAGGTAGCTCTCAGAGCCTCTGTTTCCTCACCTGGAGAGTGAGGATAATAATGGCCCATCGTTTCGAGGATGGAATGAGATAGCCTCAGCCAGGTAGTGAAGCCAGTGGCTGGTGACTGGTGTGTATGGAGCTCAGCGGAAGTTGGCTATTGTCATGATTAGCTTTTTCAGAACACACAGTGTTCTCACATGCCTCAGTGCCTTTGCATATGTTCGTTCATTCAGCAGCTATTTGTGGAGCACCTCCTCTGTACCAGGCACCAGGCACTCTTCTAAGTGCAGGGAGAGAGCAGAGCATAGAGCAAAGCACAGGCTTCACATTTCGGTGTCCTCTCCAGAGAAAACATCTCCCCGGAACTTTGGCCATTATCTTCAAATGTTCAGAAGAGTATGGAGAGCAACTTTGGATACTTCAACCAGCAAAGCTGCTATATTTGCTTCAGATATTTTTTTAAACACAATAAAATATGACAGTTGCAAGCGCCTGCCCGTATGTCTTCTCTGTGCTTGTTCCTCTAGCCTCCTTAGAGGTAAGCTACTTCACACATTTGGTGTTTCGCATTCTTAGTGGTGTTTTATACTCTTACTATGCGTGTCCACACCCTTGAGCAAGCAGAAGTAATGCTTTGCCTTTTTAAAAAATTTTCTATAAATGACGTGACTCTGCATGTAGCCTTCTTCAAACTTCTTCCTCTGGACTCACAGTTTTTTTAAAAAAAGTTTATTTATTTAATCTCTACACCCTACATGGGGCTCAAACTCATGACCCTGAGATCAAGAGTCACATGCTCTTCTGACTGGGCCAACCAGGTGCCCCTCACATATTTTTGAGATTTATCCAAACGTAGCATTTGGGTTTAGTTCATTCATTTTTTTTTTTTTAATATTTTTATTTATTTCTAGGAGAGAGGGAGACAGCGTAAGCAGGGGAGGGTCAGAGAAAGAGGGAGTCACAGACTGAAGCAGGCTCCAGGCTCTGAGCTGGCAGTCAGCACAGAGCCCGCCGCGGGGCTCGAACCCACGAACCGCGAGATCATGACCTGAGCGAAAGTCGGACGCTTAACCGACTAAGCCACCCAGGCGCCCCTAGTTCATTCATTTTAATAGCTGCCTAAGACTCCGTTGAATGAATTTTCCACAACTTCCCTGTTCTCTCGTTGATGGACGTGTATTCCCATTGTATTTTTTTCCTTTTTATTCCCCATTATTCCACATCCTCAACTCATATGATATCATGATTTTGAATTTTTGTAAATCTGAAATGGTATCTCACTGCTTTATCTTACATTTCCCTGATAACTAGTGAAATTGAACTTATGTTTTTTTAATGCTTATTTATTTAGTTTTGAGAGAGAGAGAGAGAGCACAAGCAGAGGAGGGGTGGAGAGGGGGGAGACACAGAATCTGAAACAGGCTTCAGGCTCTGGGCTGTCAGCACAGAGCCTGACACAGGGCTTGAACCCACGAACTTCGAGATCATGACCTGAGCTGAAGCCGGATGCTTAACTGATTGAGCCACTCTGGTGCCTGAGAAGTTGAACTTATTTTGAAATGTTTAAACTTAAATATTTAGATCCCTTCTTCTGAAAATTGTCTGTGCACATACATTGAGCAATTTATAATGGGGCATTTTGTCTCTTTTATAATTGATTTGTAGGGATTCTTTACGTATTGTGGGCAGTAATCTCTGTAAATTGTATGCTCTGGAACTATTCAGTGAGGATCCCCATGTGGGGCTCACCGCAGGGCTCAGTCTCACAACTGCACGATCATGACCCGAGACCGTATCAACAGTCTGATGCTTAACCAACTAAGCCACGCTGGCACGCCGGAATTTGTTTCTTTGTATGGTGTGACACTGGGAACTAATCCTATTTTTTCCAAATGTGCACACCATTGCCCTAGCCCATTTGTCACATAATCCATCCTTTCCACGCTGGTTTGCAAAAGCTACCTCTGTCATTTGTCAGGTTTTCCTGTGTGCGTGGGTTGGCCTCTGGGTTCTATAGCTTCAACCAGCAAGCCACCCAGGCGCCCTACAAATGGAATACTTCGAATGTTTCACCGATAAATGTGACTTTTCTAGCTTTAGTTTACTAAGAAGGGTTGTTTTTTTTTTAACTGTGAGTAGGTGTTGAATTTTAAGTTTTTCATCGATTAAGATCTCATATACTTTTCCTCCACCAATGTGTTAAAGTGGTGAATAAAATTTATAGATTTTGAAAAATAAATTTATCCTACAATCCTATAAGCTAAACGCAAGCCTGGTCATGCATTAAAAAAAATACATGTTGGATTCAGTTTGCTAATGGCCTTTATTATCTGTTCATTAATGAGATTCCCTTGTAAAATTTTAAAAAATAGTATCTTTAACTGATTTTGACTGTATAATCCAAATTATACAGCCTCATATAGTGGGTAGGGACAGTCTCCCTGGGAACAGTTTATAAAAAAATAAGATTACATTTCAAGGCACCTGGGTGGCTCAGCTGGTTAAGCTTATGACTTCAGCTCAGGTCATGATCTCGTGGTTTGTGAGTCTGAGCCCTGCACTGGGCTCTGTGCTGACAGCTCAGAGGACTGGAGCCTGTTTCTGATTCTGTGTCTCCCTCTCCCTTTGACTCTCCCCTGCTCATGCTCTGTCTCTCTCTCAAAAATAAGTAAACATTAAAAGAAATAATAAGATTACATTTTGCTCGAATATATCCTAAAACCCCTTTCCAAAACCATCTTGGCCTGGATTTATTGTGTGTGTGTACTAGCTATTGCTGCATTAAACATACCCCAGATCTTAGAGGCTTAAAGCAGCAGTACAGTTTATTTTCTCATGGTGTCTCATGGGTCAGAAATTTGGGAGCAGCGGGGCACCTGGGTGGCTCAGTGGATAAGCATCTGACTTCGGCTCAGGTCATGATCTCACAGTTTGTGGGTTCGAGCCCCTCGTCGGGCTCTGTGCTGACTGCCAGCTCAGAGCCTGGAGCCTGTTTCAGATTCTGTGTCTCCGTCTCTCTCTGACCCTCCTCTCCTTGCTCATGCTCTCTCTCTCTGTCTCTCAGAAATAAATAAAATATAAAATTTAAAAAAAAAAAGAAATTTGGGAGCAGCTTAGTCGAGTGGTTGAGTCTATGGATCTGTCATGGTTATCACAGAAGTGTTGGTTGGGTCTATCGTCATCTTGACAGGGGGCTGGAGGCTGTGGTTCTCACATGTGGCCGGCGGTCCTTTGCTGGCTGATGGGCGGGGTCCTTGCTAATGGTCCTTTTCATCAGGCTGCTTGCGTGTCTCAGGACACGGCGGCTAGCATCCCCCATCCCTCAAGTGAGATTTAGCAGGATGGAAGTCCCGGGTTAGCTTCGCAAGTCACATTTCCTCCTTTGCACAGCACCATCCTGGTTCACGCGGGTCCTCTCCATTCCGAGCGAGATGCAGGACACCAGAGCGGGG